ATATATACATTAAATGTATTTTTATCTAAAATTTAATTTTTAAAATATAGTAAATTTTTTTTTAAAGTTGGTCATCATAGTTTATTATGTGAATATAAATAACAATTTGAGTTTTACCATCTAAGATTTCTATTTCTATGTATTTTACCTATAGTCATAGCGGCTTCTTCCATTCGTTTTTTGGTCTACGTTATGTCGTATGAATGATTCTTAAAAGAATTGGAGTATATTCTATTTTCGTTATCTTACGCCAGTACTTACCGAGAACACAGTACTAAAATTATAAAGCAATCGTTAAGAAAGGTAAATATTTTTCATAACGGTTAATATGTCAAAAAAATATCGACTATGTTTTATCGATGGGATAACAATGGCTGCAATGCGACATTTAAAATTTCTTCTCATTGCTAATACATATAGTGGTTAGAATCGTTAAATTTTATCATGAATATAAAACCATCGAAATTTATAGGACAATAACATTATTATTATCATTAAAATTGTATCATACGATTATACTATTGATATATTTTTTATTATTTATCGCTGAATAAAAATTTCTTATTATAACATAACCTGATAATTTTGATTAATATATTTTTTTACAAATTGAGATTGAAAAATGGAGCAAGAATCAAGACGTAAAGGACCAAGGAGCCCTAGTGCAGACTCAGAAGATTCATCTCATAGAAGAAGATCAAGAAAGTATGACCGATCTCCATCTCCAAGAAGAAGTAGATATCGTAGATCTCGATCTAGAGATAGAAGATCACGTTCTAGTTCTAGAGATAGAAGAAGAAAAGATTCTAGTCGTTCACAACAAGATTGGAAACAACAAACTACATCTCAGTCTCAAGCTTCTACTCCTAATCCAGCTAATACTGGTGGTTATGTTCCAGCAGTTCATAATCAATATCAGGTAAATCTAACATAAACCAAGAAAAATTAAATAAATAAATCATTATATAAATGATATATATTTATTTTTTAGGCACCTCCACCTCCAAACACCAGTCAACCTCCACCACCTTTGCCTGCTTACAACCAAGGATATAATAACTACAACTATAATTATGGACAAGGCTATGACTACAGTTACCAGCAACCCACTGGTTATCGCAGTGTAAGTTTTTTGAAAGATAATATATTAATTGCAAGGAGTATGTTGTATGAGAATGATCAGCTTATATTGTGACAATTAAAATTGTATTGCAGTTGAAGCAATACAATTAAATATTATCACTTTTGGATTGATTACCTATTCATAGGTTTAATCGCATTGTATAAACTTATAAGAGTAATTATAAAATTATTACGTACACTACCAAAGTGTTTTGAATAATATTTGGTAGTATTGTTCATTTTTTGGGGGATGAACATTATGTTCTTTTGAATCGCGAAATATTGTGAATCCCCTCGTAAGTATAACGTTCGCGTTGTTTATTTTATTGGCATCGACATTGGAAACCAGTATTATTGACCAGATGATTCATCTTCAAGAATCTTCCGTGTATTATCCAAAGTTCTGATTTGAGTATGGACAAATAAAGGTAAGGTTTGATAAAAATATTGTTTGAATATTTTATATCAAATGTATATTTATTTTGTTAGGATTATCCACCACCAAATTGGCAAGGGAATCAGGTAGCTTATAACAATCAACAGCCACCACCTCCTCCCACACTAACATCCCAACAAGAATCGTCAAGACCAATGGATAGTGGTACTTCTGGATTAGTATCATCCTTGGCAAGACCAGAAGATGCCAAGAAGGAAGGTGAATCTCTTATTTTATTTCCACAAAAATTTATTAATTAATATTATTTTAACATATTTTTACATTCCATGCCCAGCAGCGATCGCAGCGGAAGTAAAGCAACAAAAAGCAACTTTGGCTAAACAACGGGAAGAATATGTTAAGAAATCTACTACGTTACAGCGTGAACTGGAGATTCTACGACAACAATGCGATGAAATTGGTAAAGAAGGTGGACGAGAGAATAATCGTATTATAAAAGAAAATCAAAAGTTGCAGGTATGTAATAATTTATACAAAATGAGTGATATATTTTAATAATTTTTTATTGTGCAATAATTATTAATTTACAGATTGAAATACAAAATAAAATGAAATCGATACATAACGTAATCGATATGCTTACCGGAATTATAGGAGACAAAGCTACTGTCGATGATTTGAGAAGCAAGTTTAAATTAGAAATTAACAAACGTTCAAGAAGTCCCAAGGAAGACTTTCCGAAAGGAAAATCGGAATCACCTGATAGATCATCGGTATCTGACTCTGACAAGGAATCCAAAATTGAAAGAGATTCGAAAGAACGAAGATCTCCTGAAGATTCTAAACCTATGTACAATTTCGTACATTATGATCCAGAAATGCATTGGTGTAAAGTCTGCGATATATTTCCTAAAACGGCAAAGGAATATTTGAATCATCTGCATAGCAATGAGCACAAAGAAGCTTGCTTAGTAAGTTGCTTATTATTCTAATAATAGAGTCTTAGTAAAACTCAGCTTTGGTATAGGCACTTTCAATAATTCAATGTAGAAATTTTTAATTGAAAATCGTTTTTACAAATAACTTTTATAATCATTAGAACAGGATGCAGAAAAATCTAACTGATAATTGATTTACATTGTGAGAGAACAAACGGATTCGGTTAAGACTATGTATTTCTAATTTGAACTATATTTATATAAGGATGATATATTACAGTAACAATCGACCTGCAGGTACTTGGTACATAGTCTGATTAATGTACCATAATAATGTCTCATTAAAAAGTACCACCGAATATTTATATAATATTATAGGAAACATTATAACTAATATTTCATTCCCTGCAACAGGAACGCAAGATAGTTGATATGCCCTGGCATGAGCGCAATGGAGAAGGAACGGAAAAGGAAGTGCCCTATTATCCTGGACTACCAACGAAAAGAACACCTATTAAAGGTATGGTTCATTTCAGTGGATAATTACTAATAGAATACAATTCCGTAGCTTGTGCACAGACACTGTGGTGTCCGGTATGTATTGAAGAGATCTACAGCTATGGTTTGCTCAAAAATTTGTCTGCATTAACATATTGACTTGCAAAGTCAATTTATGTACGCAAAAAAAATAGCTATGCTTTAAATATTTCTCGCTTTCTTTTTTTCTTAAATTATAATATAATAAAAATAATATGTATCAAATGATTGTGAAAATCGTTTAATAATTTATACGCGGAACGATTTTTTTTATCTTCGCGAAGTGTTTTGTCTACATCGCAATGTTAGCAGCAAATTTTGTAGCAACGATATAAACACCATAGAGATGCACTGGATTTTAAATGGACTCGAGGAGCACACTTTCGGGCAATTTCAGATATTTCAGCTTCTATAATTGAATTATTTAAATTATTCTTCAAAAGTGTACTGTTCGTCGATTCATCGTACATAGGTCCATTTATAGTCAAGAATGAACAAAAGAAGATTTTATCTATGTGAAAATATTTATATAAATCAATGTTATAATGCTGGTGCGTGTATGAATATAAATAACGAAGATGTGTAAATTGTGTTTATCACTCGTGTCATTTATTTTACTTAATATATCTGTTATACTTATAAATAACTTATATATTATAAATCAAAATATTTTTGTCAAACGTACTGTAAATGCCAATTGATCTTAAAAAATACATATAAATTTTATAGTAACTTTAATTCTTAACTTTCAATAATAATAAAAGTTAAAAGAAAGTTACAAAAGGCAATTGCAGTATGTGTAAAAGTTTCATATTATGTTGCTTTATGTAATTATTATTTTCATTTTATTTGTAATATTATTGTGATATATTTGTATGAATAAAACATAATTTTTTTCCTATCCTTTTTTCTTCTAGAATTCATCGTGGGAGACTACGGAAGAATAATGTTATCAACTATTTGTTGAGCATCTTTTAATATATATTATTTTTGTTTTCAGTGACATGAATGTGTCGTGGCAGAATATAAGGTCATTCTTTATGAACTTAAATTGTTTACCATTTTCAAAGCTTAAGTAATGCTAAGTGTTAAATTATTTGCTTATAGGTTTACAGTTCTTCAGTGCTGCAACGGCATGGTACTGTAAGCTTTGCGATTCCTGGATCGGCGATCTTCATTGTGCGAGTTTGCACTTGAAATCTAAACAACATTCTGAGAACTATTCTGTAAGTTTTTAATTACAAAGCTTTTTTAAATGAAAATTTAAAATTTATTAAGTAACAATTTTATCTAGCGTTTTGTGGAACAAAATCCACATTGGGAAACCGATTGGATGGCAGATCGTGAAAAAGCATTTTCAGAAGAGAAACATAAGCAGATACAAATGGAATTACAAAAACATAAAGATGATGATCCACCACCAAAATCGAAGAAATCGAAAAAAAGTAAAAAAAAATCGAAAAAATCTAAGAAACGAAGAAACAGAAGTAGTGGCAGCGACAGTTCCAGTGAATCAGAAAATTCGGATACAGACTCCGATCAAGATATGTCCAAGAGCATTCGTGTTGCTATGCGAAATAAAATGAAAGCATCAACACAAGCGATACTAAATGAAGAAATAGATTATCATCGAATAAAATTAAAAGGACATTGGTCAAAAATGGCGCAGCATTTGAATCAACCACCAACTCCAGAGCCACAACCAGTAGAAACTGATGACAGACAATTGTTGAATTCAATCAGAGACAAATTGAAAGCTAAACAAGAAGAAGAAATGAAATCAATTAGTAATCGAAGATTGAGTCAAGAGAAGACAATTGAAGAAGAAGAAGACGAACAGGAACAGACATCTTTCTCAAACAAATCAAAACCGGAAAATTTGGAAGCTTGGGGACCGAAAGAACCTCCAAAACCTTTTTGGATAAAGAAGGAAGAAGAAAAACCACAACCTATAGCCAATAAACCAATTGAGTTACCAAAACCGGAAGAAATGCCTAAACCACATATGGGATTCTGGACGAAGCAGCAAGTCAATATGACTGTGAAACCGCCGGAAAATAAGTCTATGGAAAAAGAAGATGAAAGAGAACGGGACAGCGATAGATATAAAGATGATCGTGATAGAAAATATGATAGACGAGAAGATAAATATGATCGTTATAGTAGCAGGTATGAAAGAAGACGTGGACGAGATAGAGATCGAGATCGTGATAGGGATAGGGATAGAGATAGGGAAAGAGACAGGGACAGAGATAGAGATCGGGAAAGAGATTATTACGATGATCGAAGAAAACGAGATAGTAACGATTCTCCACGACGCGAAAGAAGTTGGCGTGATAGTCCAAAAAGGGGTTATGATAAATATAGTAAAGATAGAAGAGACGATAATTCATCTAACGACGAGTCCAAGTTTGAAAAGAAAACAAACGAATCTGCATCTAAATCTAAAAAGGGTAATATACAAACTAAAAAATCGGCACCTCAGGTATCGAAAGGTAAATTACCTTTCATTGGTAGATTACCATTATTTAAAAAGAAAGCTGAAGAACCAAAGTTACCTGAAAAAGATATTACTCCTCTTCCTTACCAACAAAGTAAATTTGAAGATACACCAAAAGTTCCCAATGAAATTATTAATCCACCTGGTGTGGTACATATCACCAAACTTGCAACTCCAATAAATTTGGGTAATAATAATGCTACCAACAGTAGTAATAATAGCACCATTATCGCCGCAGCGAATAATAATAATAATGCTAGTAATAATACGCTCAATGCATCCCAAAACAATAAAAATCAACCAATGAAAATATTAGTAGCTCCACCACCACCAGTGTTGAATGAAACAAAACCTACACAACAAGTAGTTGATATGGAAATTGAAGATCAATCTGAGGAAACAGTAATAGAAGAACCAATGATGGAGCAGCAAAAACAAACGCACAGTATATCCAAATTACCTTTACCTCCACATCCTCCACCTCCTCTAAATAGACCACCACCATCTTTCTCAACTACATCACAGCAGCAGCAGCAGCAACAGCAACAACAACAGCAGCAGCAGCAGCAACAACAACAACAACAACAACAACAACAACAACAATCACAACAAACAGTGCAAAGCAGACCACAATTTCCAACAAATCGACCTCCACCACCATTTATGACTAATCCACCCCCATTCGTTCAAGGTCAACCACGATTCCCTCCTCATCAAACAGTACGTCCACCGGTACAAAGTCATCCTCCTTTCATGACGAATCCACCACCTCAAATGCCCACTGTACCTCCTTTCGTACAAAATCATCAAAATCCTCCACCACCTCCGCTTCCGACTATAGAAAATACTACACAAGATATTTCTGATATACCGGAACCTGCTGAAAAACGAACTGATCCAAGCATTCCTCTGCCTGATGATTTGCAAGAAGCACTAAATATTATTTTTCCAAAGGAGGAAACAGAAACGAAACAACAAAATCAACAAGAAAGTAGCATTATGTATGCATCAATGTATAGTATGTTAGGGTGTGTGGGATATGGGCCAGAGTACATGGATCAACCGCCACCAGAAATTACTCAAGCGGAGACAGAAGTAGATACTCAACCTGGACCAGATGATTTGAAAATGTTAGGCATTGATGAAGGAGATACAATTCTATAAAATTTTTTATAAATTCATAATGTTTTCAGCCTCAGATATTCTTTTGATAAGGATCTAGCGTTAAAAGTCACGTTGATTATTTACCCTTTTTCTTTGAAACAATTGTTAATTGAAAAATAATGAATTGGTAGTAATTCCTTGTGGTAAAATTTATATAAGTATATTAAAATCGAATTGTATAATTATATAAACTAGTATTTTAAATGGGAAATAGTAAATGTTTCTCTTTTGCATATTAGTGACGAATCAATACTATAGTATTGCCTCAATGAAATAATAGAATGGAATAATCTTATGAAATATTTACTATTTTTTATTGAATATACAGCTTTCATCTAATTTTGACGAAAAGTATTTCAAGATATACTTAAGAATTTGCAAAAATTAAACTGCAATGTCATATAATTATTTTTTAATTCAGGTATATACATATATGTATATCTTGGGCATACGTCAAAACTTAAATTTCTATTTGTGCATAAAACTATTAAAAATATTACTTTAGACATGTAAGTAATCAATGTTTTTAATTATTGAAAACATATTTACATTCAATGTTATTAAGTGCAGTATAAAGACAGTGTTTAGAAAAAAATTTAAAGTGTAAAATTGATTGATTTATAAATAATATTTCATCAATAAATAACGAAATTATGTGAAATAAGACTTGATGTTATACAATTAAGTAATACAAAAAAACATTTTTATTGCCCTATGCTATTAAACTATGCTTTGTTTATTTTTTCTTTGTATTTCATTTTTTCATTTGAAAATTATTTTATGTATCTTTTTAAATGCTATATTTCTCTTTCTCTCTCTCTCTCTCCTCCCTCTCTCACACATATATAAAAAACAATTTGATTTTGAAAATACATGATCTCTATACAATAGATAACTTAATAATATAAAATTTTTTTGTCAATAATCATTAAATATGAAATATAAATTTTGCGTGGCACATTTATATTATACATGAATTATATGTATATTGAAAATAAGTAATACACGTATGTGTGTATGTGTGTCTAATATTGATACACAATATTTCACAATTTCTTAAATATTTAAGAATTATTTTGAAATATAATATTATTTTCATATCAATATATTATGATGATAATGTTAATAATATTATGTAAAATGTATAAACATAGAAAATATATATATACAGAAATGAAACAAATGAAAAAAAAACATATATATATATATATATGACACAAATTATAATAGTAATTTATTAGTTCAATTTTAAAAATGATTATTAAAACAACTTATGCACGAAATAATATTTAGTTAAAAGTTACTTCAAATATATATATATATAAATTATACTAAAAACTCTGAGATATATATATATAAAATTTTTTTATTACTTTCTTTTTGATATCATTCGATATTATGCACGATTCCAATATGTCTTTTATTATGCATGAAAAGATAAAATACCTACATATTTTTATGTATTTAAATTAAGATATATAAATAGATAAAATCATTAATATCATTATTCTGATACTAATTCTAAGCTTTGTTGATTTTTAACATATTCCTTAACAGAATAAAATAACAAAATAATGTCATTTTTTAATTTCTAAACATATGTCTATCAGAAAATGTTTTGGACCATAATGGAATGATATTTTATGGAATGAATTCTATAATTTAGAATTTCAAAGCTGATGATATAAAGAAATCTAATATTTTAGATTTCGTGATTACCTTAAACTAATACGAAAATTCAGTGTCATTCAACTATTTTGAAAATATAAAATACTTTAGATTTGTAATACAAGACCCGCACTTGAAATATTATCTCCACCGCCAGCAGTTTGCGCCGCTTCAGTACAAACTAATACTGGTGCAACACATACTTGAATAGGGATATCTTTGTTTCCTATTTTTAATATTTCATCCCAACAAGATACTGGTTTATCAATATCTAGAGCTATCCGAGTACCATCGACAATTGATGTCGAAAAACTATCATCTAAAATCAACGCGGCTTTTTTAATGTCTACCTGAAATTATGTATAAATATACATATACTGATTTTAATTCCATAATTAATGAATTATAAACAATTATTTACTTACATAACTTGTTGCACATACATGTCTATGAGCTGTCAGTGAAGCTTTAGCTGCTGCAGCCATAGTATTTTTCCATATAGAACTTTTAACAGTAAATATAGCTTGATAGGCTAATGTATGTACATGAATTCTAGTTAATTCTCGAGAATTTTCAATAGTTTTGCTTCTCATACGTATCAATTTAAATAATGTTCGCATTTGATCTAAAACTGTTGCTATACGTGGCGTTGAATTTGCGACTAATGAAATATTTCCATAATACATTGCATTATGCAAATTAGCTATTTCTTGTTCATTCATTCCTAAACTATCAGCATATGGTATTATCGAATCACATAATTCAAAAAGAAATTTATCTTCTGCAAATGAAGCCATTTCAAAGTGAATTTTAGTTGATACAGATCGATTCATCATTTGCTTTTTTATCTTATATAAAAGTTTTTGTCTATCACCTGTATTTTAATAAATATTTTATTAAATTTATATAAAACTTATAATCAAAAATAAAATTTTAATTACCTTCGGGAAATGGATAATTATCCATCATTTGTAGACCACTAATAACAAGTAAATTAGGCTCATACATTAACAAAAGATTATCAAATGCATCAAGAGAACTAATCCTAGGATTATTAGCATCATTGTGAATTATGTACCTATGAAATAGTTTAGGTATACTTATTTAGGGAGATCTATTATGATCATATATATTTTCATATAATTTTCTCCAAAGCTTTTTAAGTATTATACCTATTAGCTCTGGCACTAGAATATGGACCCCAAATATCTCCATGTTTATATTCTATTACTAAGTGAATGTCATCTCTTTTCACTTCACCTCCTACGATATTAATAACTTGTGGTATCATTTGATGTAAGGATCTAGTTAATTTTGCAGCAAGTGTCACATCACATCCTTCTCTTGCAAATCTTAGTGCCATAATTGCTGCATTACCACCAATAGTAGTATAAGAAGAAGGAAATGAACGAGCTTTGGTAACAAGTTCATCAAATAATGTTCTATTTGCCATGTATCTTCTAAAAAAAAATATATTTTATAAAAATAAAATTTTAATAAATTAAATTATTTTAAATTATTTAAATAAAATTTTAAATAAAAAAAAATTTTTTATTAAAATATATAAAATTTATATAAAAAAAATTTTACTCTGCAGCAGCTCCATGACGAAAATAATAGGCAAAACTTTTTAAAAGTTCTAATTCTGTATTGATTTCATCGAAATGTTGCGGTTGCCCAATTTTTTCAGAATAATTCAATAAATCTTTAGCATTGACATATACATCAGTACATACACCATAACCTATTGCTACTTTTGGTCGTGAAGTCATCACATGTTTATTTTCAAGTTTTTCTAAACCATGAATCAAAGCTTGCAAACGTTTTTGGAGAACATTTTCCGAATTTCTATAATAAATTGCAACTAAAACTATTAATATGGTAAACGCTGTACCTAATTTTAATCCCTTGTTATACCCCATTTCGAACTGGTATGAGAACAATGAATTAAGCGCTGTTATCACCGAGTTCTTACAATCTAATCAATGCGTTAGTATTTTTTTTATTAGTTGACTATAAATATTTAATTTTGTTTATCATATTATATTATTTTAATATTACTTTCTTATGTTTTAAATAAAGAATTGAAAATATATTTATTTTGCACTTAATTTCTTGAAATAAGATATAAATTTGAAATAAAATATCAAATAAATATAAGTTTAAAAAATAAAAATACATTTTTTTTTTAGTAGTATTTATTTAAAAAACAACATATAATCAATTAGCGCAATTTAATCTATAAATTCCATTGAACATAAAACATTTTAGAATACATACATGTATAAATCTTAAAAATTTATTCTCGATTTAGAAATTTATCTTTTTTATATTTATATAATACAATTATATAATTTTGATTACAATTTTTAAATTGCAATATAATAAAAAAATAAAAAATATATGATATTAATTAGTAAAATACAAAAAAGAAATACATTAAAATATATGATTATATTCTTTTGAAATTTCAATAAAATTTTAATACTTATGTGACTTCATCCTAAAATTTATTTAAAATTATTTAAGATGTAAATTTTTTCTTTCAAAAGAATAAAGATTTTAAGTATTTGAGATTCCTTATAAGATATAAAAATATTCAAAATCTATAAGCATATACTAATATATAGCATATACTAATCACATAGAATTACAAATAAATTGTAAGTAAATAATAAATTTGAAGTTAATGAAAAGTAGTTATTACAAATAAAAAGTGGAAGCTCCTAAAATCGACTCTTTACTAATAACATATATAGATTTAAATTTAGATAATTTTATTTTGAACAATTTGAAATGTCACATCTTTTATCAGAAAATTACTTTATACTGTTTATTCTTTATTTTTTGTATGAAGACGCATATGTTTTTTTAAATTATCAAGTCTATTACATCGTCGATCACAGAAATCGCATTGATAAGGCATTAAATTGCTATGCACTACTACATGACCATTTAAATGACTAATCTGCTTGAATCGTTTTCCACAAATAGTACAAACATATGGTCTTTCATTCATATGAGCTGATGCAATATGTGTTTGTAAATTTGTTTTTCTTACAAATGTAGCTTTGCATATATCGCATTCGAATGGCCTCACATTTGCATGAATGGCCAAATGAGATTTAAGCACGTTTTTATGTTTAAAATTCTTTTCGCATAAATGACATTGGAATGGTCGTTCATCGTTGTGTACTTTTTTATGAACGGACAAATGAGCAAGTTGTTTGAACATTTTTGCACAAATCTCACACTGATATGTACGTCCATCTTCGTGTGCAGCACTTATATGTCGACGTAAAGTATCTGCTAAAGTGTATCGTTTTCCGCAAATTTTACAGCGAAATGGACGCTCATTTGTATGAGTCATTAAATGTCCGTTTAGATTTCTTTTTTCAAGGAATCGTGCACCACATACATCGCATTGATACGGTTTTTCTCCATTGTGTACATACATATGTTTCTTTAAAGAATTTGAAAGACTAAATCTCTTCTTACAAATTGAACATTCGAATTTGCGTTCACCTGTATGCACTAACATATGAGACTTCACATGTCCTGCTTGTTTGAATCTTTTTCCACAGATTACGCATGGGAATTGACGTTCATGAGAATGAGTAAGTATGTGTCGTTCCAAAACACTTTTAGTGGTAAATACCTTTTTACAATTATCACATTCAAATAAACGGAAAGCCTCTTTAGTTTTCATAATGTAATTTTCTTTATGCGATTGAGTATGGATTTTTAATGAACTCAATGATTCAAATTTCACTCCGCAAACCGCACAATGAAAAGAACGATAATCTTTGTGCGTTAATGAATGTTGACTAAGATGACCTAATTGTTTAAAACTTTTATTACAAATTTCACAAATATAGGGTCTTTCGTTTGTGTGAGATCGCATATGCCTTTTTAATACACTAGGAAAATTAAATTTTTGATTACAATATGAACATTTCAGACTTGGCTCTCCATTTATTTTCATAGAACGATTGTCTACAGTAATTCTTTTCCTTTCTTTAAGAAGATTTAAACTTTTTATTGCTTTTGGACAATCATTTGCTTCATTGGATTGTGTTCCATCAATATTTAAATCTGAAAAACTTTTTAACTTAGATAATTTTGTGGTCAATGTTATTTCATCTTGTGAATTTCTATTTTTTCTGTTTCTATTGAAACTAGACAATTTATTTTGATTATGAGATTGCCGCATATGTTTCTCATATAAACTTAGAACATGAAATGTTTTGTTACATAATTTACATTCAAACTTTTTCCCCTTTATATGTGTTCTCATATGATTCTTTAAATGACCAGGTTTCATATATTGTTTCTGGCAAATTTTACATTTTAAATTCATTTGATTTTCTATATTGGTTCTGTTGTCTATTCCTAATTCATCCTCAAATATTGAATCTTCTGTATGCATGTTTAAAGGTTCACTTTTAACATTTACAAAATTAAAATCAGGAGTGTCCATTTGAAGCTCATCTCTGGCTTCATTGCAAGAATCTTCACTTTCACACTCTTCTGCCTGATGAATTACAGTAATAATTACTATAACTCTTGGATATAAAAAATTAGATTATTATTATACTTACAGTTTTTATATTTTTGACGTTTGTAAAGGCAGAGTCTTCTATAAGCTGTTGCTTTTTTTCTTTCTTAACATCATTTTGTTTGTCTGATAAAAGATCAACCCATTCTTCTTCTGTCCATATATTATTTTTTAAATTTATTATATTAGTTTGTTTTTGAAACTCATTATGTACATTTTTTCCAAATAATATATCATAAGGAATTTTTCCATTTTCGCATCGAAATGTTGAATTTTGAAAAATCTGTATATGTACCAGGGCTTCATGCCATGTTTTTGTCGGATTTTCCTTTATCCAACATTCAAGCAAACTTTTAAAATCTCTATTACGTTCATTGGTTTCAATAATTTCTCCATGAAGTATCATAAAATCTTTCCATAAAAGACGTAACTCTTGTACAACTTCTTCTGCAAATTTGCGTCCATTGCTGCTTTGTAAAACCTGTGGTGCTCCAATAATAGCTAATATATCTAATAACTTTATAGCTACTTCATTTGCAGTGTTTCCATGTAAACCTTTTAACACAACAAATCTAGATATTTGATCCTCATAAACAAGGAAATACTTGTAATTACAAGTTAATTGTATTGGCATATCTATTACATCAATTTGTCCTCTATGGTATAATTTTTTTTCCATAGTAATATAATGTGAACTCATATTTTGAACTTTAAAATTATTCTTTAAGCTACATAAGTTTTTAATAGTTTATCACAATTTATAAATATGTGCTTTCTTCAGAGGTAAAAAGATATGTACCTTTTGACAAACTTTTATTTTATATTTTGAAGATCTAATACTGATTGTTTCCAATAATAAATTAAATGTTTTCTGTAATACCTTTTTTGTTTTCAGTGTGTCCATTATTCACTTTCTTAATTCACTGGTATCTGTGAAAAAAATAAAAGATGTAAAGAAAACGCGCGCGCACATATACACACATACATAAACGTATGTATGTATATTATATTAAAAAATTAAAAATAAAAAAACAAATAAATGGATTTTTATTTTTTTAAAACATACCATATAATAGTTCGATAATAATAGTTCATTAGCACTTATATATAAAGAAAATATTTTTAATTTTTATTTATACAGATGAATAAAAAAACTATTGAAATAAAATTTTCACTTTTTTTAAACTACAAAACAATGTACATTTTTAACCTATCCATTCTTTATAAGATATAATTTCAAAATTAAATTTTTTCACATTTAGTATTTAAGATATTAAAAAATATTAAATTATTTTTATAATGATAATAAATATTTTTTCCACTTTTTAATTTCCTTCAATCTTCACTACTCAATTGTAAATTCTTATTTGTCATTTTCACCGTGAGTTCTCAATACTTTATTAAAATAAAACTTGACAGTACTATAGTATAAGACAAATAATGTTTATTCGTCCACGTGTCGAGATATGTAAAGGTTGATTTTTAATAAAATGTTTTATCGTACATAAAATGTAAATAATAAATTAAAATATTTATATTTTTAATCATATCAAAGCTAAATTGCATCATATTTATGTTAAAAGATTAAAATAAAAAACCATAAAAAATTATTAATAGAATAATAATTATTTGAATTCAAAATAAATATATTACAAAAAAAAGATATTTTGCTAAAGTATTATTAACAAAATAATTAATTGATAACAAAAATTTGTTGTGTATAAATAAAACTTTTATTTGTTTAGTACTTTAATAGTTGTATAATATAACGTACATTTATCTATCTTCATATTATTTTTTCAAAGATTTCTTTTTGAAGTCGTGTCACTTGTATGACTACATACAACTGACTAACTGACTACACACAGTCCAATTAATAAGTGCAAGATGGCAAGCGAGGTAAATGAAATTACTGCTGAAGCGAGTGAAAATAATGAAGCGATTACGGGAAGAATATCTTCGACATCTGAGGGAATGGCCCTTGCTTATGGAAGCTTGATAATTATGGCTATTTTACCTATCTTCTTTGGTAGTTACCAAGCTGTTAAACACCATAAGGAGCAGCAGGTTAGCCACGCGTTTGACATATGTTTTACACGCGTATGTCGAAGAAATTTTGGTCTTATCTAATTTTAAAAAAATTATTAAATTAATTTTCAAATTAGTAATATTATAATAATAATCTTTACTATAAATAATATTTTTGATTTTCAATTAATATGATATTTAATAAATTTAAAAACTAACAATGTATTTTTTGTGAATGTATACATTATAAAATGTCTACTTATTAATTAAATTTGAAAATTTATTTTATTATAAGTTTTTAAAATTTTATTAAAAAAAATATTCATATAATATTTCATATGATATTCATTTATATATTTAAAATATTAAATAATATTTATGTTTAAATAAAAAAATATTAAATAATTTTTTATGTGTAATAGCAACAATGTAAAAAAAGTGGAGAACAGCCAGATACAATGTCTCGCAAAGAAGCAGCAATATTTCCTTTTATTTCCAGTATTACATTAGTTGGACTGTATGTATTATATAAGGTAAGAAGAGATGAATAAATAATATTTACATAAAAAATTTATTTAATTCAATTTAAAGGCATTTTTATCATTTTCAGATATTTGACAAGGAGTTAGTTAATCAAATCTTAGCTGCATATTTTTTTTTCTTAGGAATCTTATCTTTGTGTCATCTTACCAGGTATAACTTTAGATTTAATAGTTATATTTTTCAAATGGTCTTGAAATTACATATTATAATTATAATTGCAGTCCTTTAATTTCATCACTAGTACCTGCTGCAATTCCAAAAACTCATTATCACATATTATTCACTAGGGGTGAAGGTGACAAGGCAGAACATATTATCAATTATAAATTTAACCTTCATGATATTGTTTGTCTAATATGTTGTTCCCTTATTGGAACTTGGTATTTTCTAAAAAAGGTAATAATATTAACAAATATTAATTTTTTTTAAATAGAAGTATATTTTTAGTTGAAACAATTTTTAATTATTATTATTATTTTAATTTTACAGCATTGGATTGCCAATAATTTATTTGGAATTGCATTTGCGATTAATGGTGTAGAATTGTTACATGTGAACAATTTTGTAACAGGATGTATTTTGCTTTGTGGACTCTTGTTTTATGATGCATTTTGGGTATTTGGTACAGATGTAATGGTAACAGTCGCGAGATCGTTTGAAGTACCAATTAAGTTAGTGTTTCCTCAAGATATATTGGAGAAAGGACTTACAGCTAGCAATTTTGCTATGCTGGGTTTAGGTGACATCGTTTTGCCAGGAATTTTCATTGCTCTTTTATTGCGATTTGATAATAGTTTGAGTAGAAAAACAAATGTCTATTTTTATTCGACATTTTTTGCATATTTCATGGGACTGTTAGCTACAATGCTCATTATGCATTTATTTAATCACGCACAACCAGCTCTGTTATATTTGGTACCTGCTTGTTTAGGTACTCCTCTGCTTCTAGCATTAGTCAAAGGCGACTTGAAAGCATTATTTTCGTACGTATTAATAAATATTTCATTTATATTTTTCATATTTAAAATTATTTTGAAACATTATAGATTGTAAATCATACATCTTTTTCAGTTATGAAGATCATCCAATTAATACGATACAAACGGAAAAATCGGCTCAAACACAAGTAGAAATAAAAAAGGATACATAATATTTAAGGTGATCAGTGTAATAAAATTTTCAGCATTTTTATTATGCTGTTATTGTTCTAAATTTATCTTATATAGAAAAAAAAAAAAAAAAGATAGTTTGTCTTATGCTCAAGCTGTACAATCATGAAATTTAAAAGTGTCAATATGTAATTGTCTTACATGCACACTGTGAAATAATCATTTGGTTATTATTAATATAATTAATATCCATATATTTAAATTCAATTGAATCAATGATTTATAACTTATTTCATATTTGTATTGCTTTTCATGAATGAATTACATATGAAAAGATTAATAATAATTTATAGAGCAGTTATCTAAGGACGGAAATAAATATCCTCTTTTTTAATTAAATTGTTTTTTATAAGAAAAATTTTGAGTAAATAAGAATTTAGATTAATATGCATATCATAAATATCAATTAATTTTCATTGAAAAATTTTTCATTTTTCCAACCGTAAAACAAAAAATTAGATTGAAATTTTTTATTCTTATATAAAATAAAATCTGTTATCATAAAAATTAGACGTATAGTCAAATTGATTTAAAATCTCTGATAAAAAATCTTTGTCTATTTTTTTAAAACTATAAAATATTTAAAATTACAATTACAAATAATTCTTTGAATTTATTATTATTTTATGAACTTGTAATTTTATCAGATATATATAATTTTTTTATAATCTATAATTGTTTTAATTTATGAAATTTATGAAAAATAAATTTTGTAGAATATGTATAGTTAGAAAAATTTGTAAACATTTTTTGAAAATATAATAAAATTATATTCTTTTCATTTATATATCCATTTTTTTAAAATAATTATTTATAGATTTCTATTCAAAGAATAAGTATAAGATACTTTTAATATCTTTATTTCTTGTATTGATAATATTACAAATAATGTAAATAAAAATAGATACGTTATGCTTTATCGGCATCTTCTATTGCCAAATTTTTTGCTGTGATAGGTTCCAATTCTTTTATACCTTCCTTAGATACTTTTTGTATCTTAAAGTTTGGAAGATTAACTATCAATCTCTTATGTATTTCCCTAACACATCGTTTCATTAGTATATATGCTTCTTCTTCTGTTGAATCTATAATACAAAGTAGCATGAATAATAGATTTTTGATAAAGAATTTACAATGATGTTACTATGTTCAAATAAATATCAATATAAATTTGATTTCTATATTTATTTTATTACCATATTTATGATATCTATCCAAAATAGAAAGAGAGAAAAAGCCTCCATAACCATGTGATGCATAAGGCACCTTAACACATGATGCTAAATAATCAATGAAGTATAATTCTGGTCCAGTATTATCATCATAACCAGCCATTAATAAATTGACAAAATATGGTGTTCTACTTCTAAGATAATCTGCCAAATTTCTTCTAGTAAATAATGCAGCTGCTTTTGGAGATAATTCATAACCATTTCTCATTTTATAAAGTTGTATATTCTTCCCTATGTATTCTGAAAATTGTGTAGTATCTCCAGATTCTCCTGATACTGCCATAATAAGCTTATCAGACATTTTATGAATCTTTTCTTCATCTGAAATAATATAATTAGTAATTTAAATGACTTGCATTTATTGCAAAAAAATTGTTATTCTATTTCTATATATAAATAAAAAATAAATAAATAAATATTCTAATTATTCTAAATTATATATATATAAGTTTAATATTGAAACAATAATAAAAGAACAAAACGAAGTAATAATGAAGTAAACAAATTACATTCAGGTTATAATCAAGCATATATAATTCCTTACCATTTTTCATAACCATAATGGATTGAGCTGTAGTCATATCAGCCGCAACTAACACAAAATCTTTAAATTGAATACCAATTAAACATTCCATTTTAATAAATAATTATTTTTTTACTATCACTTGGACTTATAACACGATCAAATAACACCGAAAATTGCTTGTCACGAACTATAAGGTTAGGATCGTAACGTCGATCATCAATGTTTTATATATCCAATGGCATGCATTTTTACAATTTGTTTGAAGTTAATTGGTTAACAAATGTAAAGAAATATATCATAAAAAATTAAATAATATTTTTTTATTTCAAATACGAAATTATTAAATTATTTCTGATCAAATTAATAAATAATAATATTTCTGATCAAAATTAATAAATTCAAATCAATGATTTATTAATATATTTATATTATGCAAGATAGGAAGCAGTATATAAATTATAAAATGCATTCAATATCAGTTATCCCGCTATTTCAATATTTTGTATGTCAGTTATAAATAACTGTAATAGTTACTTATAAGTAATTGTTGATTCTTTTCTTAATTATTTTTATTCAATATGTGAAGATTATTCGCGGAAAAAGTTGCTTTTGACAAATAATAAATGAATATAAAAATTATATAGAATTTAAATAAAAAGAATTTAAATATATTGAATAATTTACTCGTCAAAATAATATAAAAAAATATAAAAAATATATAATATTTATTAAAGTTTAATTAAATTTATTATAAAATAATTATAGTTGTGACGAAGTAAACAGTTATAAAGAAAATAGGTAAGAAAATGAACAGAAATGATTGGTTCTTGCTCGTTGTTATACCATTGCATTTCTGTGTCAGTAGTAAAGGTCTAATAGCGGACTGGATTTCTTATTCTTTTCAATTTTATTATAGATGCCGGAACACTGATAATTTTTTAAGATTCATTCGGTAGGAACGAACATGATATTGCTAAAGTACAGGATATGGCATTTCAAAGAAATAAAAAGAGAGACAAAACTGACTTTACAAATATATAAAATGTCTATACCAAATCATGTATGTGTTATGAATTCCCGTTCTTTTGAATCTTAAAGTCGCTAACGAATCTTCAAATAGTTCCCGTTACTAAAAACATGAGATTCTTTTCAGAGATTTTAATTTATTGAAAAAATCTACTTTTATTTTGATTATCATTATATATGCATTTTAAATATATCTTCATAGAATTCATTTTATCAATGAATTATTTAATAATAATTGAATAGATAAACATATAAAAAGAAAAAAAGAAAAGATAATTAAAAAAATAAAACAATGTAATTGTAAAATGATAAAGATGCGTATATTTATAAATATATACTATTTTTGATAACAATTGTCTAGATTGATATTATAGAAATTATACATATATATAAATATATATAAATTATAAATTAAGAATTAATAGTATCTCTGATTTTATATTTTTATAAATTATAGAAAAAAGAAGAAAGTAAACTATTGATAGTTGCAATAGATTCAATCAAAATTAGTTCATTTCATTGAAGGTCGTTCGTTAGTCCCGTTACATTAATATCTATGATGTGCAGCAAAATATCTAACGAAATATTATTAATGATCTTGAAATAAATTAATAATTTATATTTTACAACGTGTTTATTAATAATATCAATTATGTTAATCAGAAAGATCGAACTAAAGAATTTTTAAATACAATTGAAAATATTTCAGTTACATAGAGATAATAGAGATAATAGAGAAAAACATATTATATATTTACTGACTGTTTGATTTATATTTCTCGTAAAGTATAGGTCGTTTCTATATACGATGATTAGTAAGATGCTCCTAATAAGAAGATATGACTCCAGCATCCCGCTACTGAAACAGTTATGATGAATCGTGACCGCCTAGTCTAGGGTGCACGCAACGTGAAATGGGCCTTCAAGAAGAAAAGGAAAGCCTCTGGCCGTGGACGAGTGAATGGCTCAGACCAACGTCAAATCATCGATGCATTATTGTTTTGATTTAATTTATTTATAAGATAGCGATTAAGAGATTATCGATATGAAATATTTTAATATTCATAGCAATTTTTATTTTTTTTTGAACAAAATTTAGAAATATATTTAAAAAATCTTTGAAATAATTAATTTAATTCATAAATATCAATATCTTAATATCTTTTTTTTTTTTTAGACATCTTTAATATAATTATAATTCTTATTCATGATTAGAGAAAAAGAACTTTCGATAAGAAACAAAAATAGAAAAGGAATCTTTCTCTAAACTAAAAGAAAAAATTCTTCAAATTATTATTATGAATAGATCTTTAAAGATCTTTACATATTTAAGAAATTTATTTTTTCCAAACAAATTTTATGAAAAAATTATATTAAAAAACAATCTATCATATGCTTGATTCTGAACAGTTATAAATTTCTTATAAATTCCTTATAATTAAAAGAAATAATAGAATATGTTTCTTTAATATTTAAATTAAAATCCAATATATTTAAATTATAATGAGAATTCTATTTTTAAGTTCATAAATGATAATAAATTATATAAGATAATAAAGAAAAATGAAAAATTTTGTAATTATTTGTTCAATTGAAGGATTGTTTTATACGAGAGAATTTGTTTGAAATAAAAGGCACATGGAATGTCGGAACCGTAAAATCTGCTCGAAGAATATTCGAAAAGTAGACCTTCGTGATCGACAACGACTAAAGTAGCAGAGGATTGGTCCGTTCCATTGAAAATAGTGCCAAAGGTATGTGGTCATTGGCCGTGCAACTCATCCCCACGTGAGTACGCAAGCTATATAGAACACTTCGCACGGAATTTCATCTTCAGAACTGAGAGTCAGTGTCAAGGGAGTCCACTTGGAAGTAACGAAGTGAGTACAGTACAGTACGTTTAAATAAATAAATCGATTTAATCGATCCTCGTTCGAATTCTTAAAATTTTTTCGTGATTATTATCGTCTTTGATTATATGGTAATGAATAAAATGACCATTGATTTTTCATTTCGAACGAGCACTTTTTTTTTTTTGCGATTCAAATTTAGATAAATGGCTTTACTTTCGTACTTGTGTCATTTAAAACTAGAAAAATATATTTTCAAAAATAGAAGTCAATTGTTTGTAGAATTACAAAAATTTTAAACATGATCTTAAATATTATTCTTTTAATAGTAGTAAGTAAGATAAAGGACTTGAGTGTTTTATATTAATAGAATAAAATTAGAAATGCTTTTAAATTAATTTGAAATAGGATTGAAAAATTATCGAACGAAGAAACATGTTTTTAACAGATAAAAAGTACTTTTTTACAGGTGTTGTCTACAGTTAGAATTAGTTGGTGATCTTTCCGGCGTTGCCGGAAAAGTACCGTTTTCGAAAGGCGTATTTTCTTCAACATTTTTCCTATTTACTTTCAAAATAGTTTTTAATTTTATTTGTATATACTTATACAATTTTTCTCTTACTAATAAATCTAAGGTAAATTAAACGACGATAATTTTTTTTAAATTCTTTTCTTATAAATAACAAACTTGTATAAATTTAAAAC